GAGTAGTCTGTCCAAGCCAATGGTGAAGCCAGTATCAGACTCTAGGAGTCTTAGTCCAGAGCCCACGGCTTTAGGCATGTTTAAAGCATATTGTCTCTATGCAGCATTTAGGGATCACTATGCGATTTTGGACTAAGTTTTAGACTCCTAGCATCCTTGCTCAACTACGCTCTTTATTAGAAATGCAGGTTCACTCTGTGCCAATGATTGCATTTGAAGCTGTGTCTGGTGATTTCTAGAAGCTTCTTTATTCTGTTTGCGGTTTCCCCAGTTTCACTGTTTTCCCTAGAGTAATGACTGCTTGACGGAATCCAGACCCGTGAGCCCTCCTAGGGACCTCATATGGCCATCAGCGTTTTTCCTCAGGGAGCGTAGCTCAGGAAAGAAACATATCTCCAGCCCTTGCAGCCTGGAACTGCATAAACAGTGAGTGTGGTTTTGTCTTGGTGTAGTTAGAAAATTACCAAATGCTGTCAGATTGGTCTGTGCCCCAAATGAATATGGTTGGGCTGTTCCTCTGATACACATAGAGAGGGTAATGTCAGCCCATATTCAACCAAGTGCTGCCCAGATGCAAGCACTACAAAACCCGAAGAATTCTTTCAGGAACTGCCCCCTCCTAGCAATGTTCTCCATTGTAGAATACTCTGAAGTCTAAGAACTTTGGAAAGAGCTTATACAGTAATTAATTTGTCCAAATAGGGACAATCTGCAGGCAAATAGATATTTTTCTTTTGAAATTATCTTAATAAAGGTACGTAAAAGCTTGAGATATTTTTCAATCATTCCGCTGCAATATAATAGTTATTTTTAGGAGCTCTGTGAGTTTGATTGGTATTTAAGATTTTTACAATCTATATATAGGTTGGTCTTTAATAACCATTTATACAATGCTTCTTTTTATATAGGTCATGTATTCTCCTGGGAGAGTAACAAGATTAGAAATAACAAATACAGAACAGAATAAATTAAAGTGCTTCAAACTGCATTATATAATTTCAGAAAATTGGTTTCACACTGAAACATTTAAATAACAAAACCAAATGACTCAAGGAAAAAAAAAACTAGCATATGCCTTTGAATTGTTATTGTTTAGCAAATTTTATCCTCAGCAGTGTGGTACTGGTATTTTTCACAGTGCTCCAGTATTGTGGCAGTTCATTAAGGTCAATATGGATAAAATTATTATTTTTAAAACTTATTTCTGGTTATTTAAAAAAGTTGGCTTCATTCTCCTTGAAGATGAATAGCATTTATTAGTCAAAATGTCAAAGAACAATATCGTAAAAGTAATGGTATTTTTATATATAATTCTCCAAACTCTTGTATACAACATATTCTTATTACACTTGATGCAATAAATTCAGAGGCTGTTATGGGACAGGAGATAGCAAAATTGGGGCTGGTACTTTTCTAATTACTTAGGATAATGAAAAGCAGGGCTTGGGTTTCCCTTCACAACTAAATAAAGGAGATACGATGCTCTAGAGTGTTTATTATTGCATCTGGTTTTGTTTGTTTCTGTGAAGTTTAGCATCACTCTCCTTTTACCGAGTCCTCAGGCCTTTTTCAATTTTTCTATTCGTGCATTAAAAGCCTCTTCCTGTATTTGCAGCTTTTCGTTTATCTCGGTCTGTGAAGACAATCATAAGAAAGTGGTTATGACGGAGCTATCTCTTGCTGCACATTGTCTTTGTGGTTTTGACATACTATAGTGCCTAAAGACAGACATTATCCCTCACACACCTTCCTGTTTTGCAGACACAGCCGTGTTTCAGCCTGTAGTGATGTGATAACACTTTATCATATTTCTCTGCACATTCCCAATGTATAGCATGTCTGCTATGAAGAGGAAGTGGTATTTGGACAGCCATTTTTCACATAGCCTTGTGTTGGAAGATAGGATAATTTATCTGTATTTTCAGACAGACTTTACCGAATCCGAATAACTGCTCCGGGCTCAGTTATTGCCATGGTGTTAGTCACCCCACCCCTCTGCAATGGATATTTTTGTCTACTGTGTCATACATTCTAAATGGGAGCCCAGAAAGCTTCTGTTGCAAAATAACCACACAAATAATCTCACAATTTGAACAATTCTCATAATTAAGAGTATTCATCATACATTATAACTCTTGGAATAATGCCACTCTGTGGTATATTTTTGGTAGAAAGAAGTAAGTGATTGCTGACAGGTTTCAGTGATTGCTGCAGCTCTGATAGCATTTAGCCTTTGGCAGTGATATTCTGTGGACTAACATTGCTACCTGCACAATTCCAGAAATATGTACACATTATCTGAACATTAGTAGCCCTGAAAATGTCTTCCTTTTTCATGATGGATACTAAAATTACGTACAGAGAAAGCAGTGGTGGCTAATGTGGCAAAATTGGTGTTTATGTTGTTATTGTTTAGGTGATTTAAAAATCACTTACGAGTCTATGAAGAGTAGTTTGTACATATAAATGTTAATAAATTCAGAGTTCATAATATTAACATCTATAACATAATTTGAGGCCTTCGGTGTAACTGTATTTTGAAAAACTATAATTATTTTAATTTAGATAAAAGAAATTCTAAAAA